GTAGTATTTAGAAATGTTGTAAACTTCTAATAGATTCAATAAAAATAAAAAATTGTTGGAGTACTAGGCATATGTTGTTTCAACTGTGAATGTTAAATGTTTACTGTTAAATAATGTCATTTCTTTCACTCGATAACTATTGAATTGTCACTGTTAAATGACATTTGTTCATGATCCCTTTAGCAAACACTCTGCAGGGCCAACTTCAACCATCTCTATGTTCTTGGTCAATCTTAGGCAAAACTCGAGAAGAGGTTCTTCTAAAAGACGAGTATGAATCAATAACATCGACTGTTAATGCTGGTTTTAAAGAATTCTTCACAATCTGAAAATGACGGTCAAAAACAACAGTGGCGTCCATGTTTTCCCTTAGAGCTACTATTCCAACTTCTTTACATAATCCCTCTAGTTCAGCCCCTGTGAAGAACTCAGTATCTTCTGCTAGTCTTCTGAGATCAACATCACTCCCTAATTGCATCCTTCGTGTGTGTACATTAAGTATCTCAATTCGACCCTCCAAATCAGGTGGTGGCACATACAAAATCTATTATTATTCCATAAAAATAGAATAGTGAGACAAGTGAATTGATAAATAGTCTAGTAATGTATGTATAACATGAATAACAAGTATTGCTTGTAAATATGGGTACCTGATCAAATCGTCCGGGACGCATAAGTGCAGCATCAATTGCATAAGGGCGATTTGTGGCTGCTAAAACAAGGACTCCCTAGAAGAAAAAGTATGTGAATATTGTCAAGAGAAAGAATAAAAAATTAAACTTTGACCATCAATGTTTTGATAAGAGAGGACACAAGGGTGGGAAGATAAAATGTCCCCCTTAAATAAATAAACTTACTTTAGCTTCTTCTAAACCATCCATTTCAGTAAGCAGAGTCGATAAAAGCCTCTCTCCAACTGCAGCACTACCACTCGAACTATCACCCCTGTAATTAAGGAAAACTTAAGAACAATAGTACTTCTTATGCACTAAAAGATTAAAATCTCAAGTTTCTATTACGTAGAGTAGAGACATAAAACTCACAAAAGTTAAGTTTCGTTTACACAACTCTACAACACTCTTTTGCACACGATATTATTCAGTGAAATAAATGTGGATCTACAAAATCATGGGGGTCTCAAACTCAATCACATGATGGGGAACTCCCCATAAATGTCACTCACAAATAAGGAGTTTGAAAAAAAATTAGATTATGTTCTATATGTCAAAAGATTTAAAACTGATAATGAAATGCTATCACAATGTGCAAAAGGCCCACAACAACACAATAATTCTTAGAAATATTTTACCATAATGCATAAAAAAAAGCTTACTAACCGTTTGCCAGCTACTACGTCAGCTTCATCAAAAAATATTATACTTTTTCCGGCAATACGTGCTTTGCGAAATATTTCACGGAGCAAACTTTCTCCTTCTCCGACATACATTGAAAATAATTCTGCACCACTAATTCATTATTTATTACTTCAAAATATTTCCTTGATACGGGACAACAGTTTCTACAAGAGCTGAATTACAAAGAAAGAAGGAAAAATATGTCACAAGAAAAAAAACATACAGATCTGAATGTTATAGAACTGTGCAATTTGGAATTTGGAACATATCAAAACATAACATCATATTAGAGAGAATAATAAGAGTGCCACTTTAAATAAAAGGGTGATAATAATGATGAAACAGTTGAGCTAATGGGTTTAAAAGGACCTATAACTATAAGGGTTTAAAAGGACAGCGCATTCACGATAGATATAGACAATTATGTGGAGGGTTTGGGGAACACTGAAAACAAAATAGGTCTGGTACGGTAGGATTTGCATCTTTAAAACATGGTTGTAACTTTAAGGAAAATGAAAGCGTCCACTCTATTTGACATAAACTTCAGTCCTAAATATATTCCCCACACTGCAAGGATAACCTCTACTTAAAAAGATTAAAATTATTCAAACCTCAAGGAAAAGAATGGAACATTAGCAGCATTTGCAGCAGCTTTAGCAAGAGTAGTTTTGGAACATCCTGGAGGCCCGTGGAGAAGAATTCCACGAACAGGGGTTATTCCAAGTCTTGAAAATGCTTCAGGATATTTTATAGGCCACTCAATAGCTTTCTCGAGCTTTGTCTGTCCAAGGAATGATACTCTCAGACATTGTTGAATATGATATTTTCAGAGTAAAAATCAAATGCAAATTTTACAAAATGCAACCTTCACGTCTTTCAACCCCCCAATATCTTTCCAAGTCACTTTTGGAACTTCCACAGTAATGCCTCTTGTTATACTTGGTTGAACAAGAGACCTTGCATTCTTCCAATCTTTCATCGTTAACATGGAATCATTAACATCTTTATTTGCATTTTTGGACCTTTTAATGGCAGATTCGATAGCTTTACGACACAAAGCCTCCAAATCAGCTCCAACATAGCCGTTGCATGATGCGGCAATGAATTCTAAGTCGCGTGAATCCCGAGGGATCTTCTTTGTATACAGCTAAAATAAGTATAACAAAAAAACAACATAAATTTGTGATTGTAATATGACATATTGACTTTTCTCACTAAACAATTGGTCTTATAAATTGCATAAACAAATAGGTAAAAAGTTATATTACTACTTAATGTATTGAGACCCATGAATGGTTTTATATGTATACATGCGCCACACATACACACACAAAACACACCCTTCAAGGTTCGACCTCCTAATTTCTTGCTTGCAGAGGCTTTTATATCATCTCAAGAACCAAATTATTCTAAAATATTAAGACATTAATTTAAGGCCAAAAAATAGTGTCTCTCACAGTTACCTCTAGAATTTGAAGGCGCTCCTTTTCATTTGGGACTGAAACTTCAATTTCAATATCAAAACGCCCATTCCTTCTTAGGGCAGGGTCAATTGCATCCACCCTGTGCATGCAGAAACCAAATACGCAAAACTAATCAAATGTATTAAAAACTCTTATTATTTTCTTTCCTTTTGTTAAAAATCTTACAACTTCAATAGTAATTTAATAGGTAACCTGTTAGTCGATGCAACCACAACTACCCCTGGCGTAGAAGAGGTTGCTTTGTTTGAGTCCATCAAAAAACGAAGTTGGGAAGCAATAAGCCTCCTGTATACATATATAAAAGTAACTGTCAAAAGCCACAAATCCACAAATTCACTTAATAATATGAAGGCGCGACAAAAATATCTAACAATAGCATTACAAAACAGATAGTCAGGGGCTAATAATTTGATTCTAAGATAGCAAAATTTTTAACAAAAAGAAATTTGATTACTTCATCATTTTAGTTGAAATATAAAATGAGATGAACTGGTAAGCATAGAATCACAAAGTCGTATTTCAACTAGATAAAAATAATGGAAAAGCAGGTACTATAATATGATTAATGAGAAACTGGGAAAAAATATATTGTGATTGATATTACAAATTTATCATTGAAACATATGAACATTTTATAACAAACTACAAATGCACAAGCTTCGACATGTTCTCTCAAATATAAGTCAAGAAAATAATGAAGCAACACATAACCAACCTAAAACATGTTCAGGAGTAGAGAAAAGATTATAACAAAGTCAACCGACATATATTGTACCTAGACCCAGGGGGTTTTCTAAAAATATCCTATTATTTTCTCGACTTTCATTAATTTGTGATTACAACTGAATTGATCACGATAAAAAGAAATATGAGATAAAAGAAGCAAAAGCTACTAAAAAAACTACAAAAGTATCATACAGCATAAGAGTCATTAATTGTCCCATACCTGGAATCTCGTCGAGGACAAAGTACATCTATTTCATCTATGAAGATGACAGATGACTTGCCCGACGCTGCATGAGAAGATGCCTCTGAAAAAGCCTCGCGAAGATTTCTCTCACTTTCACCAACATGTGCGCTATGAATGGTGTTCGGGCTGCAAATCAAACATGCAAACAATGACAAATAATTTATTCAAGCCATCGACATTGAAACACAATATCCATTATCCACAATAACGGACATTCAAAATATAAGTACCTTATAATCGTCAAAATTGCCCCACATTCTTCAACAACTGCCCGTACCAAACTCGTCTGCAAGCACATTCAACACAATATCTCACAAATATAACAAATAATAGTGAAATAAGCATTAGAATTTTTAAAAATTACCTTTCCAGTGCCAGGTGAACCATGTAACAAAACACCTCTTCCAAACTGAAAGCAAACAAAATTAATAATCATAAAAATTCAGAAATGAAACAACAATCTTAAGTAATTAAAAAAAACAAAAAAAAAAACAAAAGTCCGCAGCTTAGTTGGGAGCTGTGCAGAAACATCGGTGCATGGCGTAAGCTTCGAACCGGTGAAATACAAAAAAGAAAAAAACGAAAACATACTTTAATCCCAAGTCTCTTTGCATCACAAGGTAATAGACGCCAAGGAAATGTAATGAGATCTCTTAGGGTTTGAATAGCTTCGGCATTGCCACCAATCACTTCCTCGGCTCTCCGTTGTCTCGTGCTCATGCTTTTAATTTCGCCAGGCATTGTAGCAATGGTAGCAAAGGCGGTTAGTGAGAGACTAGTCGGATGGAGTGACGGGAGAAGGCGGCGCGGCGGTAATGAAATCGAAGATATGAAAAAAGGAGCAGAGTGGAATGGTTTTGCAGAGACAAATCCGCCGCGGGAAACGACGGAAAGTGGCGGCGGCGGCGACTGAGTGGAAGATGGAGAAAGCGGTGAGGGAGTGATGAGAGAAGAGGGAAGAAACCTAAATGGAGCAAAGCCGAATCTCAACCGTTGAAGTTTATTTTGCCACGTGTCGCGCATCTGTTTAAGTACAAACAGAAACTGGAAGTTAAGGGCATTTTCGTCACTGCATTTTGATTTAAAACGCGCGTATTTTTTATTTCTTTTTAAAAAATTGAAAAATAAAGTCACCGTTTCATCTTCTCTTTGATTTTGGCTCAATCATTCAATTTCCTTCATCTAATCTTGATGACTTCCTTCACGTCTGATAGCGATTCGAGCTTCATCTACGACGCGTTTCTGAGTTTCTGTAACATAGACACTGGTAATTCTTTTGCATCATATCTTTATACTGCTCTCACTGTTGCTAGAATCGTTGTTTTCAGGGACGGCGATGAACCTAGAAATCAATATCAGATAATAACAAACTCAGTTGAATACGCAATTGAACGTTCTAGAATTTCTATTATTCTTTTCTCTAAAAATTATGCTGATTCAAATTGGTGCCTGCGAGAGTTGGAGAAGATAACTGAGTGTTATAGAACCATAAGTCAAAGGGTTGTGACTGTGTTCTATGATGTCGATCCTTCTGATATATGTCATCATGAAGCTTTCACTGGAGAAGCTTTTAGAGATCTTGTACAAAACTCTTGAAGAAAGACGAATCCAGTGAAGATAGCAACATTACAAGATTTGTCGTGGATTCTAGGTAATTTTGAAGTTAGATTTTGAATTGAATGTTGAGTTTGATTTTCATGCACTGTGCCAAAAGTTTACATTTTCAATACATCACAATCAATCACGTGTAAGACTTTAGACATGGTTATGCTAAATGTCAAAAGTTTATAATGAATGAATAGTTATAATTGATTCAACTTTATGCCTTAAATAGAAAATCTTCTATACTTTCTTTATTTGTATTCCTCTATTGAGTCAATTAGCTAAGTTAACGTCTGCATCTGTTTATTATACTACTCTAATTAAGTCAAAGTACTCAAGTCAGTATTTGTTTAGCATAACTAAGTTAACATCTGCATGTCTAGTTGACTGTAATTCTTTTGAAGAACAAGTTATGGCAACTTCAAGAAATGTTCTAATTCTTATACGGTTATACCTTTTCTCTGTAAAACTTTCTTCCTAAAAGTTTGTCTTAGGTTAAAACATTTGAGATTTTCTATTCAAGGATATTGTTCCTTTAGTGTTGTCAGTTCAGTAAGTACTATGATAGTTGCTGGTATTTTTAACTATATTCAATGTATTCTGTAATATAGTTAAGATTTTGCATGTAACGAATTACCATTTTTTCACTAATGTTATATGATTGAGTATGTTTATACAATCATTTATGAACTTTTTTCTGGTCATTTATAGGAACAGAAGTAAAGATATAAAAAATGTAGTTCAACATGCTGCTCATTTGCTGGACAAGACATACCTGTTTGTTGCTGACCATCCAGTAGGATTAGAGTCACGGGTGCAAGAAGTGATTCAACTACTGAGCAACAAACCATCAGACCATACTCTACTTCTAGGGATATGGGGAATGGGAGGGTTTGGTAAAACAACCCTTGCGAAAGCTATTTATAATCAAATGAGTTGCACTTTTGAGGCTAAGGGTTTCCTCCTAAATTATGGACGGGTCTGGAACCAAAGTAACGGCCAAGTTTCTTTAGACGAACAGTTTCTTTCAGATATCTACAAAATAAAGAAAAATACTTTTGATGTAGAAAAAGCTGTTCTAAAGGAAAGACTTCTCAAAAAAAAGATATTTCTTGTGCTTGATGGTGTTCGTGGTTTGAACCAATACTATGATTTTTGTGGAGCTAGAGGCCTGGAATCATTTGGTCCAGGAAGTAAAATAATTATCACAACTAGAGATCTACTAATACTTCATGCTCTTAACGCTGACCACATATATGAAATGAAAAAAATGGACAAACATGAATCTCTTGAGCTTTTAAGCTGGCATGCGTTCAAGCAACCAAGGCCTATTCAAGGTTTTCCTTTCCTTTCTATAGAAGTTGTTTTGTGCTCTACGGGAATACCGCTGGCTCTTCGTGTCATGGGATCCTTTTTGTTCAATAAAGGATGGGAAGAGTGGAAGAGTGTGCTGCACAAATTCAAAATGACTCCCAATGGGATAATGGGGATTTTGAAAATATGTTTTGATGGTTTAATTAATGATAACGCCAAAAAAAGTATTCCTTGATATAGCTTTGAACTTGATTGGGGTGGACCACGATGATGTGATTCAGATATTAAAAGCATCTGGTTATCCTGCAAAAACTGAAATTAGTGACCTTGTACAACAAAGCCTTGTAAATATAGATTGCAAGAACAGAATTGATATGCATGATTTGGTATTAGAATTCGGAAGAGAAATTATAAGGAAACAATCACTGGGTATGGATGAGGTGAGTAGTAAGATATGATTTTTTGAAGCTCTCTTGATTTATAAAATTAATGTTTTTTGTCTTTAAAATAAGTAATAATGCTAAAGAATGCAAATAGATACTCAGAAGTTTGTAAGATTGTGAATCAATGATTCATAACAAAGTCTGGGATCAAAGCTCTGGGATGTGAATTGTATAAAAGTTTTTTATCTACTGCATATAAGCCTTTTTTTTCAGGAAAGGATCTATGATGTGTTTTTGAGTTTCAGAGGGGAAGACAGTCGCCCAAAATTCATTTCACATCTCTATTCTGCCCTTCAAAATGCCGGGATTTATGCTTTCATAGACAATGATGAGATTCAACGAGGAGATCAGATTTCAGTCTCATTGTTAGAAGCAATAAGACAATCTAGGATCTCCATTGTTGTTTTGTCTAAAAATTATACTAATTCAAGACGGTGTATGCTTGAGTTAGAGACCATCATGGACATTGGTAGGACCAGGGGTCTGGTAGTTGTGCCAGTGTTCTATGAGGTAGATCCCTGGGAAGTACGTCATCAAACAAGTAAGTTTGGAGAAGCTCTTCAAGATCTCATATCAAGAATATCAATGGATGAAGACAGGAAGAGGAATTGGGGAACATTACTCCTTGAAATTAGTGGTATAGCTGGGTTTGTCGTCTTAAATTCAAGCTGTTTTTTATATTTTAATTATGCATATTTTTTAGTGTTGTCTGCTCATGTTGCTTTGACTTATTGGCCCGTTTAGCTATTATCTGTAGCTTTTTGTACATTAAGAAATTTTCCATAGAAGTGTTCATGATCCATTTGGTATTTCTTGGATTCTAGGGATGAAGCTTATAATGCTTAGACAATCCTCATTTTACAAGTCTCTTAGTCTTGAGTTTGACCCAATACACATGAGACGAAAAGAAAGGAAAGAAAATTCATAATATCTAGGTGTGACTAGTTATTCATAAAGCATTTTATGTGCAACTATATATTTTTTTTCTCACTAAAAATCCCGTCTCTTGTTTTGATAAGTCGTACGAATGACTGTTGTATATGGCTGTATAACTCTTCACGCACTTACTCTTGGGTTCATATTTTGTAGGAATGAAAGTGAGGATGTCAACAAAGTAGTAGAACTTGTTACTAATTTGCTAGACAAAACAGATTTATTCGTCGCTGACCATCCAGTGGGGGTAGATTCTCGTGTTCAAGATATTATTCAACTATTGAGTAGTCAAGAATCAAAAGATCCTTTACTGCTTGGAATATGGGGCATGGGAGGAATCGGCAAAACAACAATTGCTAATGGTGCTTATAATAAAATTCGTCATGACTTTGAGGCAAAGAATTTCCTATTTAATGTCAGGGAGATTTAGGAACAAGATAATGGAAAAGTTTCTCTACAGCAACGACTTCTTTCTGATATCTACAAAACAACAAAAGTTAAGATAGATACGGTTGAATCAGGCAAAATTATATTACAGGAAAGACTTCGCCAAAAGAGGATATTTCTTGTGCTTGACGATGTGAATAAGTTGGACCAATTGAATGCTTTGTGTGGAAGTCACAAATGGTTTGGTCAAGGAAGTAAAATAATCATCACAACAAGAGATGACGATTTACTTTGTAGGCTTAAAGTAGACTATGTATATAGAGTGAAAGAAATGGACGATCATGAATCTCTTGCACTTTTTAGTTGGCATGCATTCAAGCAGCCAAATCCTATTGAAGCCTTTGCCAACCTTTCTAGAGATGTTGTTAAGTACTCCGGGGGATTGTCACTAGCTCTTCAAGTCATTGGGTCCTTTTTATTGACTAGGAGAACGAAGACAAAGTGGAAAAGTGTATTAGAGAAACTCAAACTCATTCCAGATGAAGAAGTGTTAGAGATTCCGTTGACTTAAAATATTCCAATCTGGAACGAATGTGGAAGAAGTCTCCGGTACTCAGGCAATAAACTAGTATTCCATTTACAAGCAATAAACTTGAATTCAACGTCTGATAGTACTTCTACTTAATTATGCCAAAACTTCAATGTGATAAAGAGTGGTTAAAATTTGAATAAAAGATGTCTTCTATATATTTTCACAGGGGAAGGCAAATAGCTAAACAGCTGTCTTTTAATAATTGTTCTCATCCGTTTCTATCTATTTTTGGAAGTTTCTTTTCCTAATATTTCTTCAAATCTCTTTTCTTACAGCTTCTGAAGGAGCTGAAAATTCTCAATCTTAGTCATTCTCATAACTTGAGAGAAACCCCAGACTTTTCATACTTGCCTAATCTTGAAAAGTTAATACTCGAAGACTCTCCAAGTTTGTCTTCGATTTCTTCTACTATAGAACATCTCAGTAAAATTCTATTGATAAATTTGAAAGACTGTACCGGTCTTCGTAAACTTCCAAGAAGCATCTATAAGTTAGAGTCCTTAAAGACTCTCATTGTGTCTGGTTGTACAAAGATTGACAAGTTGGAAGAGGATATAGAACAAATGAAATCTTTAACCACCCTGGTTGCGGAGAAAATCGCTATAACAAGAGTTCCCTTTGCATTAGTAAAGTCAAAAAGTGTTGGATATATTTCTGTGTGGCTATAATGTGTTTCCTTCAATTATTCAGTCTTGGATGTCTCCCACAAATAATATCCTATCCCAGTTCATTCATCTACAGGCATATCATTTCTCGATTTCTTAGATGAAGAAAATGATAGTTTCTATGGTCTGCCATGTACTTTTAAAGACCTTCAGAATCTTCAACGCCTTTGGTTGAAATGCGAGTCAGAAGCTCAACTAAATCAAACTATAGCAACTATTCTGGATAACTTACATACCAAAAGTTAAGGAATTGGAAGCAATGCAAAACACACCACAATCAAATATTGTAAATTGTAAAGTTTCACCACAAAAGTATTTGTGTGGATTCTGTTTTTATTCATTCTTTAGGATCACAATATATATGCACAGCACCAGACCTTCTGTATACAATCTGTTACAAAATCTATTGGTCTTAGGAATTCCAATCATAAAGATGGAGCTATAATCAAGCTAAGACTCCTAAATATAAGATAACTGCTAGTGATCATAACAACACAATTAACAATAATATCTCAATATCTCAATACCCCCCTCAAGTTGGAGCGTAAAGATCTCGAATGCCCAACTTGCGAAGAAGGAACTCAAATTGCGCTTTTCCCAGGGCCTTTGTAAAAATGTCCGCTAATTGTACCGATGTAGGAACATACATGGGACAAATAATTCCAGCCATCACTGCATCACGAACAAAGTGACAATCAGCTTCAATATGCTTTGTCCGTTCATGAAACACCGGATTTTGAGCTATATGCAATGCTGATTGACTATCACAATATAATCGCATCCCTTTAGAGTGACTAACTCCCAAATCACCAAGTAACTGTTTGAGCCATTTTAACTCACATGTAGTAACCGCCATAGATCGATACTCAGCCTCTGCAGAAGAACGAGAGACGGTTGCCTGTTTCTTAGTTTTCCAAGACACCGGAGAAAGGCCAAGTAACACCACCCATCCAGTCAAGGAACGTCTCGTAAGGGGACAACTCGCCCAATCCGAGTCGCACCATCCTTCTAGGTTCAATTCACTGTCAGACCGGAGTAGAATACCTTGGCCCGGATGTTTCTTCAAATATCTAACAACCCTCAAGGCTGCCTCCCAATGCTCTTCACATGGTTGTTGCATAAACTGAGACAAAATATGTACAAAATATGCAAGATCTGGTCTAGTCACAGACAAATAAATCAATCGCCCGATAAGTCTTCGATATGGTTCTGGATCTTCAATTGGCGTACCTGAAACCAATGCTAACTTATGGTGTTGTTCCATTGGAAAATCCGCAGGCTTGGCCCCTAATAAACATGTTTCCTCAATAATTTCCAACGCATATTTTTGCTGGCAAAGATAAATTCCCTCGTGATTACGAGCTACCTCCAACCCCAAAAAATATTTCAATAATCCCAAATCCTTCATATGAAAGCACGCACCTAAGTAAGCTTTAAAAATTTTCAAGGCTGCAATATCATTTCCTGCAATAACTAAGTCATCCACATAAACTAGCACATTAATTTGTATTTCTCCCCTGTGCAAAGTAAAGAGTGAGTAATCTGAATAGGACTGAACAAATCCATATCGCTTCAATGCCGTGACCAACTTAGCAAACCAACAACGAGGAGCTTGTTTTAAACCGTACAATGACTTTTTCAACCTACAAACCAGATTTTGGTCAGTGTTTTTAAAACCTGGAGGAACTTTCATATACACCTCCTCTTCCAAGTCACCATGGAGAAAGGCGTTGTGCACATCCATTTGATGAACTTCCCACTTTTTAATTGCTGCCACTGCCAAGAAGGTACGAACAATGACCATTTTTGCCACCGGGGCAAATGTCTCATCATAGTCTATTCCTTCTATTTGATGGTGTCCGAATACAACAAGTCTTGCTTTCAATCGTTCTATTCTCCCATCTGAGTGATGTTTTATTTTGTATACCCATTTGCTTCCAAGTGCTTTCTTCCCGGGCGGCAATTTCTCCATAACCCATGTCTCATTGTCTTCCAAGTCTTGTATCTCACTGCGCATTGCATCACGCCAACCAGAATCCTTTACGGCTTCTTTAAAATTCTTAGGTTCTTTCCCTGCTGTCACAACTCCAACAAAATTTCGATGTCTAATAGAAAATCGTTCACAAGATACAAAGTAAGTAATAGGGTAAGGAGTACCTGAGGCATGTTGTTGGGTAGATGAACTTTTCGAGGACTTTACTTTTCGTATCGTATGGGTGACAAAATCCTTGAGTCTTATATTTGGAACTTTGTTTCTCATCCCCCTTCCCCATCTCGGGTGTCACGATTTCCTCCCTCCCAGCAGCCACCTCCTGCTCTCTGGATTCCACACCGTCCTCTTGCATGACCACAACACCAGTCCCATCAACTTCGTGTGTGGGTCCTTCCTCTCCATTTATACCACTGACACATACTCCCTCGTCGGCTGCCATAGCAGCTCCATTAAAGCCTTCACACAACCCCCTCTGGAGCTGCATTTGCCCATTGTCTTGCAAGACCACTGATGCACCCCCTCCTCCAAATGATGCATCATAAGTTGCCCAACTAATATCATCAGAAACATACTCAATGTCAGAAACAATAGGAGGCGTAGAATGTGTTGTGTCTAGTGGCACAACAAATGGAAATTCATGTTCATAAAATTTCACATCTCTAGAAACAATGTATTCTTTGGATTCTAAATCATACAATTTCCATCCCTTTTTCCCATAGGGATAGCCCACAAATATGCACTTGCGACTTCTGCTCGCAAACTTATCTCCGTCACGTCGTTGATTATGGGCATAACATAAGCAACCAAAAATCTTCATGTTATCAAATTTAGGGACTTTACCAAATAATTTTTCATAAGGTGTCTTATAATGAAGTACACTAGACGGTGTTTGATTAATCAAATAACATGCTGCCAACACACATTCACCCCAAAATTGCATTGGTAAATGACCCTGAAATCTAAGTGCCCGCGCCACATTCATAATATGTTTATGTTTTATTTCAACTCTCCCATTTTGTTGTGGAGTACCCACACATGACGTCTCAAACACAATTCCATTATTAAAAAAATAATCACGTAGACAATTAAATTCGGTGCCATTGTCACTGCGAACTTTCTTTATTTTCTTATCAAATTGTCTATCAACAAGTGCCACAAAATTCAAAAACATAGTCGCAATCTCAGTTTTATTGCATAGTAAATAGACCCAAACGGCACGCGAATAATCATCAACAATTGTCAAGTAATACTGTGCCCCACATGACGAACGGGTTCGATAAGATCCCCACAAGTCACAATGAACTAAGTCAAACAAACTTGCTGCATTATTCTCATTTAATGGAAAACTATCCCTATGCTGCTTGGCACGAGGACAAACATCACAAGGTCTATTATTCTTGCTCCTACTAAGCTGACTTACATGAGGAATGAACTTTAACACCTTTTCCGACGGATGACCCAAACGCTTATGCCATAAATCCATTGTTGAATCTCCTTCCACCATCAAGGCATGCACCTTTGAAATACCGCGAAAAAAGTAAAGTCCATCGATCTGTTCACCTGCTCCAATCAACGTCCTCGTCGTCCGGGCCTGTATTACACACAATGCATTAGTAACTTGAACGATACAATCAGAGTCATCGATAAGTTGAGTTATAGAAATTAAGTTGCAATTTAATTGAGGCACAAAAAGAACATTATTGAGCCGTTATCCACCGTCCAAAATCACACTGCCTTCCTTTATAGCAGTCGCATCTTTCCCATCCGGCAATCCCACCGGTGTATTTGTAATATTTTTCACATTAGTCAGACAAGAGAAATTTCCTGTCACATGGTGTGAGGCTCCTGTGTCAATAATCCAAGAAATGTCACTCTTACCGTGGAGGCGGTCTTTGGTTTTAGAAATATTCAGAGTGTCAAGAATTTGTTGCCACTGTGTCGGGGTAATGCCTGATATACCTGCTGCCTCACTTGAGTGTGGTGGTGCATGAGACTGTCCAACATTACCACCGCTGCTATGACTACTTGTTGTGGCTTTGTTGGCGCGGACATGTGTGTTATAGGCGCCCCTGTCACGCCCTCCAGAATGGCCTGATGTGTCTCTGCCACGACCCGGTCCACGACCACCACGAGGACGGTCCCCCCACCACTCGGGGAACCCATGAAGCTGAAAACACGAGTTGTCATCGTGTCCTTCTCTGTTGCAGTGAGTACAAAATTTTTCAGAATTGTCCACAAGTTTAGATTTACCTCGCGTATCAGCTGTAGCTTTAAAGGCCATGACGTGGTCACGGTTCTGATGAATTGAAGATTCTCCTTGCAGCAATCTCTCATCTTGTATGACTCGCTGATATGCTTGATCAATGTTTGGTAACGGATCTTGAGAAAGCAAATTTGAGCGAATCGTTGCATAAACCCCATCAAGGCCCATAAGAAAATGATGCAGATAGTCTTTAGCACTCAAATCAATCACTTGTTGGTTGATATCACATGTACAATCTCCACATTTGCAAGTTGGCTTTTTGAAATAAGTCATAAGTTCGTCCCATACACGAGACAGACAACCGAAGTAGGCCGACACCTCTTCACCTTTACCTTGCTTGCATTCTCCTAACGATGCCTTTAATTGGCATATACGGGTCCTGGTCCCGTTCACAACACAAAAACGTTGTTTGAGATGTGTCCACAAGGATTGTGAATCATCATAATAAGAAAGAGTAGAGCGTAATGATGGCTCGATAGTGTTCAGCAGCCACGCTATGAGCATCGACTGCACTGCAGTCCAGTCCTCCAATTTCTCTGGTGTTGTTGGTTTTGGGACTTTCCCTTCGACAAAACCGTATTTTCGCTTCGCTTGCAACGAGGTTCGAATTGCCCTTGCTCATTCATCATAATTCGGGCCACGCAATTGAACTGGTGTGATCACGTTGCCGGGATTGTCATTGGTGCCGAGAAAAAAAAACAAATCCACCTTCTTCTCGTTATTACCACTGTTGTCATCAGTTTTCTT